AAAACGCGTCTGCTTCGGACTATTTGAAGCGGTGGATAAACAGTTGGTGCTGTGGTTTGTGGACTGGGGAAGCAGCAGGATGGTGAATGAGTCACTGACTTACAAACACATGACTGTAAATGTAAAACAGGAAGCACTACAAAGATCCGCAACAGCTAAACTCGCTGCTCTGTGTCATTTCATGGGGACTCTATGGAAATGATTTGTATTTTTAAAAGCCCTCCGTTACCTTCAGCTTATCTGAGGTCAGGTGGTTGGTGACGGAACTCTTTGAAGCAACTCTCAGGCACATACTAAAGTCTCATGGTTCTTGTTACTAAATTTTTTAAATGACAGGGTTCTTGCCAGTGAGTGGCTGGCAGTCTGTAGACATCCCATTTTCAACTCCACTATCTTGGATACCACCCAATGGGGAACCAAAAAACTGAGTTGAGTTGTGTCCTGCCGACTTAGTACTGGTGGAAAAAGTCCAGAAAAACATGCTCGAACCACTTTAGCTGAGTCCAGACTCACACTTTACACCAAGATTTCCTAAAGGAAACCCACTTAAGTTACCTATATCAGCAATATCATTATTTAAGTCAAATCTCATGACCGCAGGAGCGAGTTGGAAAAGGGATAGAAGTACATCAAAGATCTTTGGAACAGCTCCCTCGCTGCTGAGGAAAAAGCCTTTTTCTGTCTCTCTCTCTCCTTGTCTTGAACAAGAACCTGGGATACTTGAATTTCTCCAGGTACAAAGACTCATCCCCACTCCATCAGAACAGAAGCCTTCTTATTTCTGATAGAGAACCAGGGCCTTAGACCTAGAGGGGCTGGACATCATCCTGGCCATTTCTGGGATATGAGCCACTCTGAAGGCCATGACTTGTAAAAACCGGTAGGACCACACTCCAAACCTGAGGCTTCCAAAGCAGGAGCCGTCTTCTTTAAGGCTAAACTTCAAAATCCCGTCCGGGTGTAAGTATCTGGCTTAAAGGAGGAGTTCTGTTCAGTGGAGCAGTGCATCACAACATCTGGTCAGATGTGTCTGTGAGAGAGAGGTGTGCTTCTTCTTAAGGGTAATGAGTCAGTGAGGAGGAGGAGGAGGAGGAAGAGGCAGGAAGAGGGGGTCATCCACGAATACCAAAAACAGGATCAGTGACAAGGGGTAACCTTTCTGCATTTCCACCAGGCGCTGGCTGAGGTTCCATCAGGACTGAGTAGGGCTGACCGCAGACTGCTGGCCGCTGATTGGCCAGGGAGTCACATAATTAGACAGCGACTCCATCATGCAAATCTCACCCATTTTAATCAATATCGTTAACAAAAATTATCCGATTTCAGAATTTCTGTGATCACCAACGCTGTAAAAGCCTAATAGATAAACCAGTTTAGTCGGTATATAGTTAAATAAACTGGATATTGTGTGTTGTGGTGTCAGTAGGAATTAATAATGAACTATTTCATTTTGTTTAGTACTGAACAGACCTGCTCTGTAGGAATGGTAAGCTTAATGACTTCTGTTGTGATCTGAGGCTGAATCAGAAAATGAAATGAATTCAAATCAAAATCATGGAGGACAGGGTGTTTCCCAAAAATATTGGACTTGACTGATTTATTTTTGCAGCTGCACCCATTGCTGAAAAATAATCAAATATATCTATCATGAATACTAAGGCATTAGCAGATTGGGACTTACGTTGCATGTTAATACTGACACATTACCTGTTTATCGCTGAAGCCTTATCTAGAATAGAGGATTTCCGCATTGCGTAGTAATAACTGGAGTTTGTAGCAGGAGTTGAATATGATAATTCAACTTGTCCCTGTTGTTTTTCTTTATTTTGAGTCTGGAGATAAGCTCCTCCTTGAAACTAATTCTTTTGAGTCCTGGTGTAGCACTACATCCTGTCCTCCAGCTGTGAGTGAGTCTTTGAGTCTTCTTCCCTCTAGCGGTCAAATCCCACTTAATGCACTTTGCGGGGGAGAACTGGGACAAAGCCCTGCTGGGTTTAAGGCTCTGTGTGTGTGTGTGTATGTGTGTGTATGTGCAGATGTGTGTGGGAGGAAGTGAGAGGGAGACCTAATTTTGTGCGTGAGCAAACAGTCTCATGGGCTCCCCGGGGACTCACGTGGTAGTGGGTCAGCTCCAACTTCTGATGACTTGACGAGGTGGTGGATGGTGAGGTCAGTCCGCAGGATGCTGTCCGCCGTGGTCCTGGCCAGGGCGGCGGCCAGCGAGCAGGGGCAGTTGCTGTGGTGAGGAGAGATGAGACAGTTATGAATGGGCCAGAAGCAGAAATCATCTTACTGTAATCCTCTCTGGAGGCCAGCGGGGTTGTCTTGCATTTATCTAGTTTATCCGATTGACAGTCGGAGCTTTGTTTTTTAAGAAAACAAGTCCAGGGATAGATATGCCAGAGGTCATCTGTAACAACACGATGTATGGATGAAACAGCATTTGGATATTCATTTTTATCTCATCATAGGGCTATCAGCACATTCTGTACTAACTGCCTGCTGTATTCTGAACAGCATGGTGGAGAAAGGTGGCGTAGGTATCTGGCTTAAGGGAGGGGTTCTGTTCAGTGGAGCAGTGCATGGCAACATCTGGCCAGATGTGTCTGTGATAGAGAGGCGTGCTTCTTCTTAAGGGTAATGAGAGTCAGTGAGGAGGAGGAGAAAGAGGTAGGAAGAGGGGGTCGTCTCAAGGACTGCCTGGAGGCTCGCTGGGGATGAGTCACAGCCATTATGAGGCCACCTCAGGAGCAGGTAACCAATGGTAACAGAACGTCTGGGCGCTCTCCACCGCACTCACAATTAAGTTGAAAATAAACCGGAGCCAAGCTTAACAACCTCTTAATTACAAAGCGAGGGCCGCGGCTTGCTGATTATAAGAACCATTAGATATTTATTCATGATGTCTATCCAGAACTAATGTGATAATCTGATAATTTGCAGCCGGTCATACATCCAATGCCTCCTTCTTGGCTTAAGCAGAGAACTTTAGGCTCATGATCACAGGACACATCTTTGATAATTCATGATAATCCATGCGACAGACTTCAGTCTGGACCTCAGTGGTTCAATAACGGATCGCCTGATACTGGTGAGTAGCTGAAGATCCAGCCAAAATGGATGAGAAAATGAATGCTTACTGTTTCTTGAAAACAGATGGATCGATTCAAAACACTCAAAAGGGATTCTAAAAATGTAGCTGAAATGTTTGTCCACATTCTCCCTTGGCAGTGTTGCTAATTGGACCTCTTTTCTCGCAGAGCTCCATGTATCGTGGATCAGTAAACCTCTTCAGCCCGCGCTGCTTCACATTCACTGCGATTCTAACAGCCGACTCGCTGAATTCCCTAAGGCCGCGCTGCATTTAATTTCCCCCTCGTAAATGAACTCGGGTTGGCTACAACATCGGAACACACTGCACAATTAAATACTCTATAGTCGGTGTGAGAGGGCCTCGGTGGCTCGTGAGTCAAATGACAGGGGTTTAATCAATGAAAAGTCAGACAGCAGCCTGCTTCAACGCCTTTAAAGGACCAGTGCCGCCAAATCAGCTCGTTTTAAGCAAAATCCAAAGGACGGTTTACCTAAATTGGTGGATGTGAAGGCTTTAAAGAGTATGAGAGATGTTCAACACGTTAGTCTTGAAGAGATAAAAGCCATAAAATGATATTAGAAAGAGATGAGGAAGTCAGGGAGTGGTAAGGGTGGTTGAGGAAAGCATGAATGTAAAGGATTGGTTCCCTGCTAATGACCAACAGACAAATGAGTATGTTTTTTCTGAGAATCAAACAGTGTGTAATATGTGCATCTGGAGTCATGATCCACGGTTGTAAATTTAGATGGGGGTGTTTCCTCATGCTGTTTATGAGGGGTCTCATGTCACATGACACAAAATTCCACTTATGAGAATGACATGGAAACATGCCAATGTTTGTCTGGCCACGTCCTTTAACAAACACCAGCGTAATCCTTTGTCCTCAAATCCTAATTCAAAGTGATAGCAAGCGAAAAAACGGCGAAATTGGTTGACAAACTTGGATCATTTGCATTGAAAAAGAAACATTTTTGCGCTTTGAATCGATAAAGCCATTTTTGGGTTGCCAAACCAAAATGGTGTTATTATCCCCACGCCATGAATTTAAGAGATATTTATAGTGGACCTTTTTCAAACTGACATATCTTCCTTAGGTCTTAATGATAATGTGATCATGCTTTGGTCAAAATCCAAAATGGGGGCTGGAAAAAGCTAAATGTATGACACTGTTTCAGTTCCATGAGGCCCAAAGGAAAACGCCAGGCTTGTGTTTGTTTTCAGTCGCACGTTCTCTGTCACACAAGTTTTTCTCCCCACAATGTGTCCCCTTTAAAGACATTCAAACAGGTAATGAAGATTTATAGTCAGACCAGAAAATGCTTGCATTAGTCATTCTAAAGGCCATGGACAAACAGAATTTAGGGAGATGGATGTGCTGTTCACCAGTTAGGAGATCTCTTCCTCTGGCTAAGCCATTTCCTATCGGAATTCTGGAATCCTTCTCCTAAATGCCTGCTCTTTGGAATTTATTTTTATTTTGTGGACAACTAAATCTTGGGTGTCTGCACCTAACCTTGTAATGTGGATTATTTACTGTCTTCGCCATGTTTTCTTTTGCCACTTTTTCTGACGCAAGTGCGTTTTTTTAAAGCAAAATTTCCCGCATAGCGTTTATGGTGTGCCGTGTCGGACTGTTTCTCCTACTCTTAATCATCTCTCATCACATTAAAATGCATGGAACTTGACTCGAAACTTGAAACACAACAGGAATTATTCATTTCTCCATGGCAACCACAGCAACGGCACATAACCTTACTGACGATCATCTTGCAGATTTAGTAAAATGTGTTGATAGGCCAGTTACTCATTTCCACCACCAGCAAGGTTAAGCCAGGAATTTTGGGATGTATTTTCTCAATGTTACAGCAGGGTTGCCTCTCAAGCCTAACGAAAATGACATGTCAGAAAAAGAAGAAAAAACTAGAATACAGGTACAAATTAGAGATGCCCTGCATGAGCTTTTAATAAACAATTATTAAAGTTGAACATACTAAATATCAATGTCTTTTATAACGGAGTAAAAGATGAATAATGGCATTTAGCTAAAGTTAAATTTGGGAAAAACCACAGTTGGCCATCTTCATGACATATAAATGATGTGTAAGAAAACAAAAAAACATTCAAATTTAAGATCTAATTTACCAGATCAGGACGGTCTCTGAAACATCTGAACCACAGAAACATCACAATAACTGACACTTATTCATACTTTGAGTCTTTCCATGAAAAAGGAAAAGGACCAAAAAGGCCTGTCTGAAGCCTTCTCCATACTTGGGAATTCCAAACTCGAGCAGAAAGACCACAAACGAAAGCTGGACCTGTCAAGCAGGAATTTTCTATCTTTGTGGATTTCCTTTTAAAGCTCATTTTCAACACTTTACTTCTAAACGGGGCCCGGTACTGCAGTGCTGCAGACCTTCAGCTGATCTATAATTTGTGTCAGTCGCAATTATGCAGCAGATGCCGTCGGCATTCGAAATCTCAGTTTGAGGAGTGCCACACTGTGTCCTTTCTGACTCATTGAAAGGGAGCATTTTTGGCAAAACGTGCTTTATATAATTCATTTCAGAGTCTGAAGTCACTGCTGATCTGAAAAAAAAAACCCAGGATGGATCTAAAAGAAAGCGACACCGATTAAGAAGTTGAGACCAAGAACTAAGAAGTCAAACTTACTCAGCCTCCTTCCTCTCCAATGAAATTCAACTTCAGATGATAAGTGGGAAGTTGAAGCTCTTTTGCTCTTTAATTTCCATCAATATGGAAAATATCATAATTAGCTATACAGCTCGGTTAGTGAGGAAATAAAGAGGGCATTAATTTGGCCAGGGCTTTTTAGGATGTATCCTAACAGGGCAATGTGAACTCTAACTCTAACTTCTTGATCTTTTATAGTCATCTGGAAAATGGAAAGCCCGAAAACCAACTTATCGATTAAAATACTAGTAGCAGTATTGAATAAACAAATATCACTGACCTGTTGGTCTTATATGGGACTGTTCTTCATGTGAGTAAATAAAAACCTTTCCAGAACACGGGGGAATGGAATACAGTGAAAAGAAGGATTCAAGGAGTGGAAATGTGTTGGAGGAGTTAGAGGTTTGGTTCTCAGTGTTACTATTAGAGCCATTGTCCAAACAGTCTTCATCTCCTACAGAAATTAGCTGATCTGTTCATTAGACAATGGTCATCCTCCTATATCCACTTTAACAGCAGCAGGAAACTAGAAGAACCCCTCTCTCTATGCTGTTATCTGGACTTTAGCTAGCAAACGGCGAGTTGTTCTGCTCCATATTTCACCAACTTGTCTGGTGACAAGTTTGTCGGTGTCGCTGTGAACGGAGGAAATCAAAGCGTCTGAAGATGAAACGGCCAGTCCCCCCCAAATCTGTTTGCTGTGTGCTGTGAGCTCTGCTGATTTCTCCTGTGGGCTCTCTGATGCCGTCATAATGTAGGTGAAAGGGTTGTAGAGATTCCCAGGAAGAAAGTAGACAAAGTCCGGGGTTTGTCTGCGTTATTGTTACCAAAGTAAGGCCCGGGGAGAGTGACAGCTTGTGAAAAAATAGCTAAATATGTGTCCCTCAAGTGGCTCTCTGTTCGGTGTTTTTCTGCGGGAGGCTCTGGGAGATACAAGTGGTCATTTTCTTTCCCAAAACAACACAAACTGGTATCTTTGTCTTGTTAGGCTTTTGTCATATTCATGGTCATCTGCTTGTACATTCTGTCTCACAGTTCATCTCCTCCCACAGAAACTTCTCTTTTGTCCTTGATTTTATTTTCTAACTGGGTCAAGGGCTTGAAACATGAGGAACAGAGGAGTTAATGCATGCCCCCATAAAGCAGTAACCATAGTAACCTCCTGGGTAAACCTCCCTTTGAAAATGAGAAATCTCTGAAATATCTTGCTCTTGTTCCTAAAGCGCACAACAAATGTCGAATAGACCGATTAATAGTTTTTTTTAATGAAAGGAGACAAAAAAAACATCTGCAGTTTGTCTCTGAACACTGTCGGGATTTTTCTAAAGCATTCAGACGCAATTCTATTCCAAAATCATCCCAAATGTACCTATAACTGGTGTCTAAATATATTTGATATGGTTAAGGCTTTATTTTAGAGGCGTCAACAGTGTTAGTCTGAACTGAGC